GAAACAGCAATGGACCCAGTACCGAACCTTGGGGGACACAGACGTAAGCATGGCCAACACTAGAACTCGCTTCCCCAACCCTGACTCTGAATGTCCTTCCACGTAAGAATTCAGAAAGCCACAGTAATAGGTAAGGATGCAATCTAAACCACGTCAGCTTCTCAATTAAAAATCGATGATTCACTGAGTCAAAGGCTTTACTGAAGTCCAAATAGCACACCTCTACCGATATCCCACTATCAAGATAACGGGTAATCTCGTCTAAAAGCACAATAAGTTGGTAAGACAAGACTTCTTTTTAAGAAAGCCATGCTGTTCCGCTCTAATTAGATTGTGCTCAGTCAAGTGCTCACAGATCAAGCCATTTTCGAAATGCGAATCAAAAATATCAATGATGAACAAAAATATGGCGAAACTAATAAAGGTACGCAAAAAAACAATGAGTACACATAGATGATCGAGAAAAAGGAACCATATCAACAAAAAAATAAAAACGACGAAAAAAGAAATCCGCGCGTGCGAATCGGGGTCAGCAATTTGAAGGACTAGTATACACTAGTCCGAGACGCTGCGCGAAATTACGCGCGGATATCAGAAGGCAATTGGAGTCGGGACACAGCGGACTGTATTCGACGGGCTACAACACGTAGAGCGGCGAAGTGAGAAAACAGTGACATGTCAAGAGTCGTGCCGGATGTAGGTCAACATGGACGCCATGAAAGTGAGATTAAAACAAGAAGGGATGGTGTACAAGCAATCATCAGCGAAATTGTACACAGAAGATTATAGTTAGTGTTTGAAGCGCTAAAAGGAAACGTGTAGCGCTCAAAATGATAACTTATCTCTCATGTACAAGTTCAAGTTCAAGCGGGACTGGAACGATGGGATGATCCCGTGAGTGTTCCTTCTTCGGCGGGTCGTTGAACCAGGACTTGGCGAACTTTGAAATACTGATGCACCTAAAACAAAGATCGCATCACACCCTGTCCAACCAATTAATTCCCACGTATCCTGCCCTAGCAGTCCCTGCTGGGTCGGTTACGTGAAGTAAAAAAGAGAAAAAAGTAAACGCAGAAGGCAAAAGAGAAAATGGTAAGAGCTAAGCAAGTGGAATACCAAGATATTTGAGTCAATAAAAAAATAACTGAAAAGTGAAGGTGAGTCAGCTAGGAAAAAGGAAAGGTTTGCTGTTGCCACCCAAGAGTATCGAGCTGGCGCGCAAAACCCTTAACCGTAGGTTCCCTAACCACGTGATCTGGAAGCGAATTCCAGCGATCTATAACTTGGCGCGATAGACGAGTTTCCGTCCTAATCCTATCAGACCGTGGTTTATGCAGTTTCAGTGGGTGACCGCGGAGACTAGGTAACGTAGCGGGACTAAAAAGCCCTGACAAGTCTGGGCCAATCTTACCCGTCAAAATACGATAAGTGAGAATCAGGTCCCCTCTTATCCTTCGGTAGTGCATGGAGTACATACCCAAACTGAGCAACACTTTGCACTTTGAAGGCGCGAAGTGCATACCAAATAATGGGACCACTCTGGATAGGCTATTCAGGGTTGATTGTGCCGCCTCAACATTGTCGAAAAGCAAGACGATATCGTCCGCATAATCTAGATCAACTAACCGTTCACCAGGCAGCACTTCAACATTTACATCGTGAGATTCCGCAAGGGAACACTCCATGATAGAATCCACGATGAAATTGAACAAAAACGGGGAAATCTGGCAACCCTGTCGAACGCCACTTGTAGTCGAAAAGCTATCCGATAGGGCACCATAGACCCTGACGCGGCCTCTAGTGTTCGAGTATAGAGCACGAAGGATGTTCACATATTTCGTGGGAACACCTTTCCGCGCAAGTATTTCGAACAGAATCGATCGATCGACTGAATCGAACGCACTCTTGAAATCGAGGAACACAGCTATTGTCGGTTTGCGGTATGCGTGGCGCTGCTCTAGCACCTGGCGCAAAGTAAATATATGGTCTATACAGCCACGTCCTGGGCGAAAACCGGCCTGCTCTTCTCTAATCCGAGATTCCCGTTCTGCAGTGAGGCGACGAACGATAATCGAGGCCAGTAATTTTGTCACAACTGGCGTTAGGCTAATACCCCTGTAGTTCGCACAGTCTGTGCGACTGCCCTTTTTGTATATTGCCACTATAATCGATTCGCTCCAATTAGCATTTTGTCTCGGTTAAGACATGGTGGACAAGCCTGGATACAATATTCCAGGCGGGGTCGGACGAATGCCGAGAATAGCTTCACAAACAAATTAGCCGTTAGGATTTCGAAAGAGCAGCGGATAAACCACATCATACGAAATCCCGGACAAGCAGCCTTCTTCCGGAATGAAGTGCTGATGAGTTACAACCCCTAAATCAACCTGCCGAGTGACAACAGGGAGTTCCGCACCGCCGACAACATTTCGGGTGGGAGGATTAGCAGCTCCGATTCGGAGAACAGAGCACTTCGCCCTATTTATGGGCATGAACCATAAGGTAGACCATTCCCAGAGCTGAATTTCCTCAGGACCCCCGGGATATCAACGATATTCCAGAGCTTAAGGTCGTCAGCAAACATTAGTGATGACACCCCAACTCTCCCGGCAAGTCATTTACATAGATCGCGAACAACAATGGCCCCAATACCGAGCCCTGCGGAACGCCAATAAGGACAGCTTGCGTGAGCGAAAGTCTACGCCCCACCCACACGCAGTTCCCTCCCCTCAAGGAAGGCAGACACCCATTGAAGGGCGCGACCGTAAGATCTCAACTTTAGTGAGAGTTGAAGATGAGGAAGTGTCGAAAGCTTTCGAAAAGTCCACGAATAGTACGTCTACAGCGCGGCCACTGTCTACCGCTTCGGCCCAGTATTCACAAGCTACAAGTAGATTAGTCTGACATTAAAATCCCCTGCGGAATCCATGTTGCGCAACACCGAGAAGGTTGAATCTATTCAGGTGGTTCTCCACTGAGTCCCTTACCAGCTTTTCAAACAACTTGACTACTACCCTCGTCAAACTGACAGGCCTGTAGTTCGCGGGCAGAGCGCTGTCACCGCCTTTAAAAATCAGATAGATGATTGCCTCCTTCTATTCCGAAGGTAGGATGCACTTGTCAAGCGTTATTGAAAACACGCATGTGAGAGGACCACTCAGCTCAGTGGTCAATTCATGCAACAGCTTCGGATGAATTGAATCAGGACCGGAAGCTTTACAGGGATTAATGCCTTGCAGTAGCTCGAAGACCTGAGTCTCAGTTATGTTAAAATCAGCTAAGCAAGAACCTAATGGAACTCTTGAAACCGCTTCAACCTGTGGTGTAGGTCTCCCGAGCAAAGACCCCAGTATACTGAATACTAAGTACACAAGCCTTGTCATAGTCGGTATGCTCACGGGTCCCGTCTGCTCGCAATAACGCTGGTATGGACAGTTTTGCCCCGTTGCGTCTTTTGACATAAGCAAAAGACTCCTTGGGATTAGCTGCGGCCGAGACCGCTAAACCCTGCTCGTACTGAAGACGAACAGTTCTAAGATGTTGCTTACATTTGTTTCTAATCTCGATAACTATCATAGGTACTGGCTGATGGACCTGCTTGGTAGGTTCGCCAGCATCCAGACCATTTCTTGAGTAGGTACTTGCCTGTGGTATCTATCCATGGAGGCTGTGCCCTTAACCCTCTTTTCCTCATGAGTGGAATATAGGGAATAGAAGCCTCCGTAAAGTATTCCTTAAATTTATCCCAGGCTAACTGGACAGAGTCAATCATCAAGATCTCACAACTCAGAACTAAAGCCTTAGCTCGTATTGCACTGAAGTCCGCTAGCCAAATATTCGGAAGTAATTCAACAGCGGTCTGTTAGTGCCTTGAAAGAGCACACCAAAAGGATATGCATGTGTAATCGCTGGGCCTTAGAGGTGCACCGTACGAAACGTCGGTCCCGAAGTCAAGGGACTTACCGAAAAGCAAATCTAGAGTAGATGGTATTTGGTTGTCCATATACCTAGTGGGGAAGTCCATGAAGTGATGCAAAGGCACGGAGAATCAGCGCCAAAAGGTCTGCACCGAATGTTCCTGATGCCGAGCTGCAAGAAAGATCGGTCCAAAAGACTTCCGGGAGGTTGAAATCCCCTAGAACTAAACACTTATTCGCGGGATGAGTGCGAATAAAGCCAATGATCCCCCTTGAAGAACTTCCAGGACTACTGCATATCACTATTACTGTAAACTGTGAAGAGGACGTGCACAAAACAGCCGATAGGGCTTCAACAGTCTGATCCGACGACCGGATTGTGTAGGTCCTCAACACATGTAAGTTACAGCTCAAATACAGTACAACACCGCCTTGGCGACCAACGGAGCGATCAGTTCTAAGCAGCGCGTAGCCAGGTAAACATACCTCACCGTCCGTGATATCCGGAGACAACTACGTTTCAGTGAAAGCAAGTATGTCGGGACGAGATTTGTCTACAAGTAGACCCAACTCGTGCACCTTGTTCCTTAGGCTACGCACGTTGCTAGGTACTACCTCATGGAAGTCGGTACGACCATCCCTGGGTCGTGCGCCATCAGGATGGGCTCTGATAGGGTGGAAAATAACTTCCGGCTGACCACCTGAAAATCCACCAGACGGAGGCCTTGCTCGAGAGTCGCCAGTCTAGTTTTGAGGTCTTGGATAGCTTCCTTTAACTTCAATCTATCTGCCAGTGGTAAGTCCGGCTGAACGCTGACCCCACTACCCTTAAGTTTGAATGCAAACCGCAGTAATGATTTGCGTTCCTCCGGGGTAGAAAGGACCACGCGAAGTAGTCGGGGTCGTGGATTTGGCGTAGCGATAGGGACGTTCCCCTATCTAGCGAGCTTTCTGACAGTGACACCAGGGAAGCCAGGTGGAAGCGGCTTGCTGACACAGTTTCAGTTAGTTGATGTCACCCAAGGTGCGTTCTCTTGAGAGGGCAGTCGCGGATTCAGTAACGTTACGGAATATAACGCAACTATCCGTGAAAGATTCGGCAAGACGGGGAGTGTTTACCCACGTGCCTTGGATTCGACACCTATACTAGCTGTTTTCACCACTGGCGGTGGGATGTCCCTGTCTCTGCAAACGACGTCGAAGCAACGGTAGTGTAGGTTTTCCGCTCTATTGCTGGCATCTTAATAGTTCCTGGGTCTTCAAGTCCCTTCGGAGTTTTACGGGCAGATCTAGCCCGCTTCTTCTTTTGTCTCATGAGAGCAGGGACCGTTGACCTTGTGTCGTATTGAGCAGTTACCAACACTTCGTCAGAACGGGCTGCATCAGTGGCAGCCGAGACGATCAGCATCTTCGGAATGCTCTCCTGTGCACTACCGTCAGACGACTTTACGACTGTCAAAGATGGCATTTTTTATCGACGCCGTGGTAACTAATTCTCTGGGTTTAGCAGAGGGCTTCTGGTATTTCCGCACCCTATTTTTCTTCACTCTGACCAGCTCATGAGGAGAATCAGCAATGCTACCTAGATTGTCCGGTAGGATGTGCGACTTCTTGACCCAGTGACAGACCCCAGCTGATGTGTCGTCAGCAGTGTTGCCGTCTATTGCAGTGTCTTCAATTGCAATATTTAGGGATTTCAAAATCAAATCCATTTTCGCATCGAGCGACGCAATAGAGGCGAGGTTGGATATCGCCTTCTCAACATCGGCCAACCTTGAAGTCAGTGCTGCAAGTTTAGCACCGGTGATAGCCGGGCGCGTCGATCTCTGAGCGCAGCACTCAGCACAGCTGAAAAGGAAGCGAACACGGGATTATAGCATTTTGTGCTGGTCAGCTTTAAGCCGGTACAGCTTTCGTGATACAAGCGGCAGCAGAAGTCACATTGCATACCGCCAGATAAATCTGTTACTGGCTCTGAACAGTTAAACTGTTTGCAAGCTGCACTAGACTCATTAAACGACCCCAGAGGTACAACCGCCTCGATAGTTAATAAGACGGCCATGTTCATGTGGAAAACAGAATAGAATAATAAGATGCATACAACAGTAAAACGACCGCAAAAAAAAGCAAAAACAGGGTGCAAAACGGGATTAAAACTGGGAACAACCGTGCTCACACCGACGCAGTCGGATGTTTCCGACTTGACTGTTCTCCAACCATTTGGGAGAAGTGACCACTGCGTAATTTCCCTTTGTTGGATGCGGCGTCTTACCATGCACGATCAGGGAGTATGACGTCGGAACTTCTGGCGTGCTGATCCACCCCGTTTGAAAACTGCTGCCGGCGCTATGGACTGGAGTATCCCTCAGCACTTAGGTGTTGATGAAGCTTGGACCCTTTTGTACTCCAAGTTCACGTCCCTCATAACTCAGGTCGTTCCACTCTGCAAAGGGAAACGTTTTTCCAATGGCCCTCCCTGGATTGATCGAGAGTTGAAATCCCTTATGCGCCGTCGACGCAAATTGTGGGATAAGTTCAAGACTACGCAATTGCCTCTGGACTACCTTGATTACAAAGCGGTCAGGAATATCTGTACATTCAAAAAGCGAGAAAAGCGACAACAGTACGAGCGCCGCTTGGCTGAGGAATCTTCCGCCGCTCCCAAATTACTGTTCTCCTATTTGCGGAGACGTACGAAAGCTGTTAATGGAATACCTGCGTTGTATTCCAAAGAAAATGATACTACTCTTCATGATGACGATGCAAAAGCCGGACTCTTGGCCCTGCAGTATTCCTCAGTCTTCTCGACTGAGCCACCGTTTACTTGTGATTTAGCGTCTACGCCTTCACGTACTTTAGAACGCTTAGAAATCAGCCCCGAATTGGTTGTCAAGCTTCTTTTTGAGCTAAATCCGAACTCATCACCAGGTCCTGATGGGCTACACCCTTTGTTTCTCAGAACCCTAGCTGAGTACATCGCTGTACCTGTTTGCCAAATTTTTCAGCGGTCTCTTGATGCGGGGCGTCTCCCGCTTGCTTGGAAAATGGGCACCGTCAAGCCCATATATAGAGGTGGAAATCGTCAGGACCCCGGAAACTATCGACCAATTTGCTTAACATCTATAGTTTGTAAAGTCATGGAACGAATTCTCAAACGAGACCTTCAGAGTCACCTTGACGGCTTGAATGTCATTTCCTCTGCGCAGCATGGCTTCAGGCGAGCTCGCTCGTGTATTTCCAACCTGCTCGTTGCCAGAGAGAGGCGGGCCAGGTCATTAGATGCCGGAAATCGCTTAGACGTCTTCGTCGACTTCAAGAAGGCATTTGATACAGTACCGCACGAACGGCTTCTGTTTAAACTTCGGAGTATTGGTGTTTCTGGAGAGATTCTCTCATGGATCACTGATTTTCTGGATGGCCGTAGCATGCGAGTGAAGGTGAATGAGGTCTACTCCGCTTCTGTTCCCATGACCAGTAGGGTTCCACAAGGCTCTGTCCTTGGCCCCGAGCTGTTTAAAGTCTACATTAATGACCTTCCATCTATACTCCAGACCGATTGTCTGTTTTATGCCGATGACCTGAAGATATGGATGGAGGTACCAACACCTGAAGCCGACGACCGACTGCAAGAGAAGCTAGACCTGTTTCATAGCTGGTCTTCGGAATGGCGTTTACCCATCAATCGTGAGAAGTGCTCTGTCCTGCCGATCGGCTCTTCTGACCCATTTGGCGCCTATCACATTGGTAGTTTCTTGATCAGGAATGCTGCCTGTGAGAAAGACCTTGGTATACTCGTATCTCCCGATCTGCGTACCACCGAGGACACCCTGAGGAAGATAGCGGCTGCGAATAGGATGTTCTGTGCCATTAGGAGATCGTTCTCCCGAATGACTCCAGAGGTCTTCAGACTTCTTTTTTCTCCCCATGTGCGCCCTATCCTCGAGTACGGTTTGCCTGCGGCCTACCCTTTTACAAAGACTGAACGTGTTATGATTGAAAGAGTTCAGCGACGAGGCTCGAAATCCATCTCAGCGCTCCGTGACCTGCCTTACACTCAGCGTCTTCGACAGATGAACATGTTTCCCTTGGACTACCGTCGACGTCGGGGTGATCTGATTTACACCAGACGGATATTGCGAGGACAGATGGGGAGTGAACTGCAAGAGTTCTTCCAGCTCTGCGCTGATAGCTCGACATGGGGTCACTCTTGGAAACTGTTTAAGCCGAGGAGGGTCCGGATTCATTCTGATTTCACCCTATCAACTCGAGTGGTAAAGGACTGGAACAGCTTGCCTGAACTGGTCGTTAGTGCACAACGTGAGGAAAGTTTTAAGAAACTGTTAGACTCCTATCTTCTGAGTATGCAAGGATCCTGCTGTTTTCGATGCGACCGTAATGGTCCCTTGCGGAATACCGCCTCGCAGCATGTCGCACAATCCTTGCTCTGAACGGGATGTGATGGAGTTGACACAGGATGCCCTATCTGCTCTCTACCACTCCAATGAAACTAGAAAAATTATCAGTAAGCGCCAGACGCTTTGTCCAGGACCACTTTAATCGGACCAAGATATTTTGGATCAGAGGAAATTTGACAATATTCAAATGTCGTTTCAAGTACTTATTCAAACACTGTTTTCCACGTTATTGCAGCTAAAAAGCTCGAACAGAATGGCACGCCAGAAAATCGAGTAACTGCGTGGTACTCACCGGACCAAGTCAGGCTAGGTCAAATCGGTTTCCAAGGTCGATAGTTAGCTCCGGTCTAACGAGCGTCCAGTTTCATGTACCGGAAAAAAACGCCCCCAGTACCCAGACCTGAGTTGTCTTCTTTGCCTAGGAAAAAGAAAGGAAGCAAGACACGAGCAAAATATGTATGTACTTGTTGGATGAAGAAGTCTCCGAGACGTCGTCTGGTGTTGTGTACTTATTATCGGAAATTTGATGAGATTGAGGCTAATGTAAAATACTCAGTTTTCAACTGCCGCATCTTCTAACAAGCGTGCTGCTGTGACTCGGTAGCATTACGAAAGCCAAACTGGAAGTCTTCGCTTGAGGATTACCCGTGCCTGTACGTGCACTATCGCCGTTCTCGGTAGAAACGTTCGTGGGAAACGGTACGTTAATATTGTCATCATATAATAACTGCGAAACACTTACAAGCTGCCGAATTGCAAGGCGCTTATTTATTTCAAGTTGAAGTGGGAAGTTTACGAACAATGAGTATTAACTTTGTTTCGATGTCCTGATATTCATATTACAAGCCATTGATTTAACCTCAAAACAGGCGGTTGACAAAGGCGGTGGAGAAGCAGATTAATGCCCCTATGTCAGTGATCAAAGGTGGCAAGAAAATAGTAGGTACCTATTAATGGCACACGGATGAACACTGAACGCGGATACTTTGAAGTTGCTGTAAATGCGGCACCGAAAGCGGCACACAGGGGAAGTGGGCGGGGTGACGGAATGAGTGGAGCGGCACAACGCTTGCCGTGTGATAAAAATAGGCAATGTTGTCTGAGAAATGTTTTTCGCTCCAGCTGTGATGGCTGCCATTGCGGATATGTACTGCGAGGTAATTTTCGTGGGCACGAGGCACGAAGCGGACTACGGCGACTATGTATTGGGGCGCTGTATGCTAGTGGAAGTAACAGTTACGGCTTATCTATTGTTCTATGCCTGGCTGCCGAATGAGTATCCGCACAGCTTCCAGCAAGCCGTGGAACCAATGCAAGAAATGTTACGCTGCGCGGGAACCGTACGTACCCCTGTGGTGGAAAAATGCCTGGCACAGGTGTGTGCGGTGTCCCGGGCTTATCCGAATGCAGCGGTCGTGTATCGTTGTATGCACGTGCTATGCGTTAGGTCCCGCGATTTAATCGTCTTGCAAAAAAGGGTTAAGCGGACATAAGCATGCTGCAGCATTTCCTACTTAAATTTATCTACACAAGTGTTGGGAGCAATTCGACTGGGAATTAATGTCGACTGCGGCGAGGAATACTGAATGTTCTAGTTACTAGCAGCAAAAGTGGTTGTCCTGTACATGTTCCTGGGTAGCGCAAGGGTAGCGGGTGGTGGGTTTATTTGGCCACACCGCGAACAGCCGTCTGCGTTGCATTTATGGCCGGTTTTTGTTAGTATTACGATGGTTCAGTGAACATGCAGCTAAATCGATTTACGGCGGTTGCCTGCATTGACAGTCAAAAATGAAAAGCTAGGTGACCTGTGTATAAAAGTATATATATTATATTTATTCACTGTCTGTTAACAGACATTGTGTCATCAGAACCATGGCAGAAGAAAAAGGTGAAGATGTGTACATGAGCAGCGATTAAAACAAATAGGAAAATTCTTTTTTGGTTTTACACACGCTATTTTGTATTTTTTGTCTTGTTTTGTGAGT